AACCATGTTATACATATAAAAATATAAATATTATTTTTTGTCAAAAATAAATGATCCCTTAAAATATAAAACTTAGCATAAAAGATGGAATTAACAAGAAGCTTTGGGGTTCAAGAGTGTCAATGTACCATTGTTATTCAAAGTGACGTCAATGTGCCAAACATGCTTTTCTTGTAGCCAATCTACAAAGCATCAATCACCATTTTGTAACAGGTTGAATTAATTAGCCATTAAGGATAAATATATTAAAAGTGGACACTAAAACCTGTATATAGTAAAAAAAGTTAGAAATAATGATGTTAAATTTGTTACCAATCAAATTGTAAATAATTTTTACTCACTCTTTAAAAGTACACAACTTTACTTCTTACCAAACTATAAAACTGATGTTAAAAAAAAAGAGTTCAAAAACCAAACTAAAAAAAGTATTTGATTTTGGACAAATTATATCCCAATGGATTATGATATACCTAATTATATTAAAAAAAAATTGAATATAGTATACATTTTCTAGTAGTGTTGCTAGCATAGTATTAATATCCTCAGCTAAAATTTCGAAGAAAATGTTATATCAGATAAACATTTCTTACAAATTGATTATTTCGTGTCAATTACTCAAGTGTTAGATGACCAATTCGCGCAGCAGCAAATTATTTATAGATTTTAATACCAAACATATAAATCTTATAAAGTAATTACATCAATCCAGCTAATTCACGAGTCATCTACATCATCCGAAGCCTTTCTATATGTACGAGTAAACTAAAGAATATCCTCCTCTTTCTTTAATGAATAAAGCAAGAAAAGTTTCATAATATATATAAAATACAAATATATTTACTAGTTAGTTTGGCATATATGTTTATGAAATGTTGAATATATAACAGCTGTAAGCTGATGCAATCATCCAACAAATTTGGATGATCATTCCTTACATCGCATCCTTTGACTAAACCTATTTCTTCCCTTTATGATACATCACGTTGAGAATTTTATAATCTAAACCATATCTTTATAGTCTTCATAGACTTGAAGACCTAAGCAACACAAACCATTAGAGTAGTATAGATTATATAGGAGAAATAAGAGTTCTTGTTACCTTTCTATCCTAGTTTCTCAATAAGGTATAATCCAAATGATTTTTTTTTTGGCACACAAATGCTTAAGAAATGATATAATTGAATAACGGAAGTGAAAAAACAGAATTAAATAGCATAGATTCGGGTCTCATTGGTGACATAAAATGATACCAAATTTTTAGTTGCAAAAAATAGCGATAAAAAAAACCGATAATAAATCAAGGGTAAAATGTAGGACTACAAGATTACCTATGAAACTTTTTTGCCATCGTATCAATAGTTTATTGCTCTCAGTGTAGATTTTGAAGCTTTGTGATAGGCTAAACTCAATGTCCAAGCCTACTTTGTGTAATGGAATTCAAAATTTTGATAGTTTTGGGGACCTTTTAAGAGTAGGACGGTCTTTGAAGGAAAAATCGAAACTTTTGTTAACAATAAACTGGGGTTGTTAAAATATCTGGAAAATCGATACATGTTTACTCAAATCCTACTAAATTTCACGTTACCATCGTAACTAAATCATAATTAGAAAATGCTAATGTAACTATTTTCTTTAAAAAAAACAAAATATTAAAGACAGGGTATGAAAAAGCGAGTATCTAAGCTTGTATTTTGATTTTGTCAACATCAAGTATCTAAACTTAAGGTTTGTATAATTGTCGAACTAATGTTGGATTTTAAGATTATAAATAATGTCGACAATTGTATATTTCTATCAATAAACAAAAATTAAAGACCTTCGACCTTACCTGCTTTTGAGCCTATCGGTTTCTCTTTTTTGAGAAACCCAAAGTTTTCTGGATTCTCAAATCATGTAATTTACTCCCGGTGGAAGAGTTTAATTCCATATTCTTCCAGTCTGGTCGTATTTTCTTCCTTTTTTTGGAGAGTGGTCGTACTCCTTAGCTTTATGCCGGGATCTTCAAAGTCACACTGGAAAGTGACTACCCTGAGACTCTCCAGCTCTGCCGCGAAGACCCTCTTGACGCATGCGAGACTTGCCGTGGATCTGCTGTCCATCTTCTACGATGATTTATCTGCTTTATGTTTTATTGTATTGTAATTATGTTTTAAGATTAGAGGATATTTAATTTTCTCCCTTTATACTTTATCAGTTAATTGAATGAAGTAAGCTTTGTTGAC